TTCTGCCCAAACACTAGGCTAGGCTCATATTTAACTGCTGAAGTGCTGTACATTTGAGTTTTGTCACTCTTTTATGTGCACTGCTTTAGACAACCCATTCAATTGGACCTACACCCTTTTTGACAGCACACTGCAAAGCACATTAGTGCATTGCACTGCACAGTGCACCTCTGTCAGCAAGGTGTGTTGGGGTGCCATTCAGAATGAATGACATCGCATTGCATTTTTGCAAGTGGTATGTGGTGCCTGTACAAGAACATATGCGTTCCCACAAGGCAATAATGTGAATTGGGTCTGACAAACACAGTGCCAGGCAGAACCCAGGTGGAAAAGCATGGGCAACTACAGGCCAAACACCCCTGACAGGGGAACAGCAGGACCTACCCTACCCAGCTGAGGGAAAAAACAGAAAACATTGAAAAAGCCAAGTAAGAGAGAAACAAAAACAACAAACAGTATTAACCCACATTGCAGTTAGACACTAGTGTTGACAAGAAGAAAGAGAATAGTAAATCCATTGCAAAATGGGGGGGTTAGTCTCTTGAGCTCTGAGCTGATTTTATCCTTGGGGTTATAACATGGGTAACCTTGTAATTGTAAAACTCTTGAGTTTTTTATGGTTTTAAATGATTGCAGTATCAATGGGTGTCTCCAAACCTGGTGTTTAATGTTGTACTTACATTGGTGTCTGTTTTAGTTGGGTGTGTAATCAATCCAGATACAGAATGCACTGACATGGATACTGTATGGAATCTCAGGTGTATATAAGACATTGCAGTAGTTCATATCAATCACTATATGTTGTTTACACTATACAGTTGCAAGAAAAAGTATGTGAACCCCTTGGGATTACGTGCAGTTTTGCATGAATTGGGCATAAAATGTGCTCTGAACGTCATCTAAGTCACAACAATAGAAGAACACAGTCTGCTGAACATAATACTACATAAACATTAGATGTTGCCATGGTTTAATTGCACATAACATGTTAACATTCACAGTGCAGGGAGGAAAAATTATGTGAACCTTTGGACTTAATAACTGGTTGACCCTCCTTTGGCAGCAATAACCTCAACCAAACATTTCCTGTAGTTGCAGATCAGACCTGCACAACGATCTGGAGTAATTTTGGACCACTCTTCTTCACAAAACTGTTTCAGTGTAGCAATATTCTTGGGATGTTTGGTGTGAATCGCTCTCTTAAGGTCATGCCACAGCATTTCAATCGGGTTGAGGTCAGGACTCTGACTGGGCCACTCCAGAAGGCGTATTCTGTGCTGTTGCAGCCATTGTTTTGTTGAATTACTTGTATGCTTTGGGTCATTGTCCTGTTGCATCACCCATCCTCTGCGGAGCTTCAGTTGGCGGACAGATGGTCATACGTTTTCCTGCAAAATATCTTGATAAACTCTGGAATTCATTTTCCCATCAATGACAACAATCCGTCCAGGCCCTGAGGCAGCGAAGCAGCCCGAAACCATGATGCTCCCTCCGCCATGTTTTACAGTGAGGATGAGGTTTTGATGTTGGTGTGCTGTGCCTTTTTTTCTCCACACATAGTGTTGTGTGTTCTTCCCAAACAACTCAATCTTGGTTTCATCTGTCCACAGTATATTTTGCCAGTAGTGCTGTGGAACATCCAGGTGTTCTTTTGCAAACTTCAAACGTGCTGCAATATTCTTTTTGGACAGCAATGGCTTCCTCCGTGGTGTCCTCCCATGTACTCCATTCTTGTTTTTAATGTTTTCCTTATTGTAGATGTGTCAACAAAAATGTTAGCATGTGCCAGAGATTTCTGTAGGTCTTTAGCTGACACTCTGGGATTCTTCTTTACCTCATGCAGCATTCTGCGCTGTGCTCTTGCAGTCATTTTTTACAGGACGACCATGCCTAGGGAGAGTAGCAACAGTGCTAAACTTTCTCCATTTGTAGACAGTCTGTCTTACCGTGGACACATGAACATCAAGGCTTTTGGAGATACTTTTGTAACCCTTTCCAGCTTCATGCAAGTCAACAATTCTTGATCGTAGGTCTTCTGAGAGCTCTTTTCTGCGAGGCATGGTTCACATCAGACAGAGCTTCTTGAAACCAGTAAACCCAAAACAGGTGTGTGTTTTTTAAGGGCAGGACAGCTGTCAGCAACACATCCAATATCATCATACTGATTGGAGTCAAGGTTGGCTCACTCCTGGCTCCAATTAGCTCTGGGAGAAGTCATTAAGCTAGGGCCTCACATACTTTTTCCTCCCTGCACTGTGAATGTTTACATGTTATGGCAATTAAACCATGGCAACATCTAATGTTTGTGTAGTATTATGTTCAGCAGACTGTGTTCTTCTATTGTGGTGACTTAGATGACGTTCAGAGCACATTTTATGCCCAATTCATGCAAAACTCCACGTAATCCCAAGGGGTTCACATACTTTTTCTTGCAACTGTATCTACTTTTTTTATGAGCTAACTATGCTTACGTAAAAATGAGCACCAATAAAATGTCGATTTGTTTTTTTTTTTATCTAGTTGTGTATCTATAATCCTTAATGCCATATTTAAAGTCTCTTTATTTTCATTACACATCTTATTAGACTGAGATTGTGCGTTGTTAAATAGACATTGAAACCGTATTAATTTTTTTTTTAAAGCTCAGCTCTTTGGAAAAAAATTTTTTCCACTGAAGGCCATCAAAGCCCATCAATCAACTTGGGTAAAACCAGCCTGTCAGATTTTTACATGCAATTACTGCAGGTGGCTATAGCCACTAGCAGTAATCATTGTGTGCTCCCGGCTGGTAAAGTTTTCTACTGGCAGAAAGCAATAGCGCTGCGGGAGTGTTGATGGGGAATCCAGCTATTTTCTTTACTTCCAACCGTGGTGGAAGAAAAGGAAATCAAGTCATATATGGCTTGCCTTAACTGTTTCCAAGACTTGCATGGCTGCCAACTTCGTCTTCTGTTTACATGTTCTCAATAGCAGGCTTTAGATTATGGTATTTTATTTCCTTCCACCATGGATGGTGGAAGGAAATAAAATGGAAGGAAATGGCATAAGTTCTAGGTGGATGTTGCGGCCACATCTGTTGCCAGCTTTGAGCGTAAGATCTTTCATGTGGCTCTTTGAGCTGCCAATCCCAGTTGTCGGTCACTGTTTACTTGTGCTGCCTACTCCTGAGGTGGGCTGCATTTGGACATCCCAAGGTGAACAATGTCCTGTTTCCCTTATTTGACAAGAAAGAAAATTATATTTTTATACTTTCTGTAAAATCCAGTCATTGATTGGCACAGGCTCCGACTATGTTTATGATCAGGATTTCTGTACTGCTTTGCTGCAAAACTGAGGCATGCAGGTAGTGGAAAAGATTATCCTGGGCTGGCCTACATCTTTTTGTTTACCAGTGTCCAATCCTCCTGTAAACAGTAGCCTAATCTGAAGTGAAAGGCTTCCTGTGCCCTGACTTTAGTAGCAGCTGGTGACATCATTGGCACACTGTGCTGCGGCCATGACTCCCATGGGCATGGGTGAGAGTGATGTCATTACAGCTCGACCATTCAAGGGCCAAAGCCCTCGAACCTGGAAGGAAGACAGGTTAAGATAGAAGCCCTGACAGCATTCCACTCGAGGGCTTCGTTTTAAGGCAAATCTGTCATAATATTCTAGTATGCGGTGCATACTACCACACTATGACATTACCCTGCAGGGGCCCCCCCTTTTTTCCTTTTACTACCACTTTAAGATCAATAACTCACCTGGTCCACATGGCCTCTTTTTCCATGGGCTAATAGAATTCATCACATTACCTGATATACCACTGTATCTTCTTCTAGGTTCACTTTTCACCTAGGACAATGCCATAAAAATGGTGTACAGCAAATATTGTAACATTATTTCAGAGGGTAAAAAGCTTGAATCAAGTACCTATGGATTAGTAAGCCTGACTTCTATTTTTGTAACTTTTTTTAAAGTATTCTGCCAGAAGACATATACAAATATATAGGGCCAAAATATAATATCTCAGGTTAAAACAAAATCCTGTACAAAAGAACAGAGAGACGTGTGGATGGATGGATAGGCTGTGGAATGCTTTAACACATGAGGTTATAATACCAAAAACAAAATAGCTACAGCTGCCTCAAGGGGTTTGTTTTCTCTTCCTGTAGGTTAAAACTGTATGTAACTAAAGCTGGCCATAAATGAATGGAATCACAGACAGTTCAGCAGGGACCAGGCAAGATTCAATTCATCTATGGGCAGGCTAGTTGTACCGAAGTTGATCCATCGATTGATTTCAATACAACCAGCCTGGGTTTTTTTTTTCATGCAATCACTGCTGGCAGCTAATGTATAGCTACCAGCAATGATCATTGTGTTTTGCCCACAGAGAAGGCATCCCACCAGCAGAACGCAGTAGTGCTGTGGGAGGGATTCCCCCATCAACACAATCAGTGTTCATGGGGGAATCGAGAAATTCTCTTTCTTTCCACCTGTGGAAGGAAAGAAAATTGCATCTATAGGCTGCTTTACTGTACAGTAAATGTAACTGTAAAAAGCTGTTCTTGATGGACATTTCATAATTTTTTTAACTTTATTGATTAGGTCGCAATGTAATGTGCTATGTATCTCACCCAATGTCCACGGAAATATAGTTCTACTGTTTCTTACATGTGGAAAAAGAAATTACCGGTACTTTCACTTTTTAGAAATAAGACTTCATTCCAGTCTTTTTAGTTTTGCAATGTTAATGTATATAAATTCACGCTTTGATGTAAGTGTATTTTTTTTTAATTAAACCAGATCACATTTGCAAGGGTTTTTGTAAAAATGGCAGTAAAATATAGTGTCAGATTTTTTTTCCAGAAAAAAAAAAACATTCTGATACCAAGATCTAGTCCATACAAATATAATATCCTACAGGCACAACATTTCCTACCCCCCAACATTTTTAAAAGACGTTTGAATTCTTGAATCTTTTGTTCCACTTAATGGGATTTTTCAGGGCCCCTCTTTCACTCATGGATGATTTCTTCATCCTCTTCAAAAGTTTCCTCCCCATCATTTGCAGTAGCTTCTTGGTATTGTTGGTATTCTGAGACAAGGTCATTCATGTTGCTCTCTGCTTCTGTGAATTCCATCTCATCCATTCCTTCCCCAGTAAACCAGTGCAGAAAAGCCTTTCTTCTAAACATTGCAGAAAACTGTTCTGAGATTCTTTTAAATAACTCCTGAATAGCTGTACTGTTCCCAATAAATGTTGAGGCCATTTTCAGACCTCTTGGTGGTATGTCACACACTGCCACCTTCACATTATTGGGGATCCATTCTACAAAGTAACTGCTGTTTTTGTTTTGGACTGCCAGCATTTGCTCGTCAACCTCCTTCATGGACATTGGCCCTCTAAAGACTGTAGCCACTGTTAGATAGCGTCCATGTCGTGGGTCACATGCTGCCATCATGTTCTTGGCATCAAACATCTGTTGGGTAAGTTCAGGTACAGTGAGCGCACGATATTGTTGGCTTCCTCTGGCAGTTAGTGGTGCAAAGCCAGGCATAAAGAAATGAAGACGTGGGAATGGAACCATGTTTACAGCTAGCTTTCGAAGATCTGCATTGAGCTGGCCTGGAAAGCGCAGAGAGGTGGTTACTCCACTCATCGTGGCAGACACCAGGTGATTGAGATCTCCATAGGTAGGTGTGGTGAGTTTCAGGGTACGAAAGCAAATGTCATACAAAGCTTCATTATCAATGCAGTAGGTCTCATCTGTGTTTTCAACCAACTGGTGTACAGACAAAGTGGCATTGTATGGCTCTACAACTGTGTCAGAAACTTTAGGTGAAGGCATCACACTGAAGGTGTTCATAATTCTATCTGGATATTCTTCTCTGATCTTGCTTATGAGCAGTGTCCCCATTCCAGAACCTGTTCCTCCTCCAAGAGAGTGAGTAAGCTGGAAGCCTTGCAGACAGTCACAATGTTCACACTCCTTTCTGACTATATCCAGAACAGAATCTACCAGCTCTGCACCTTCTGTATAATGTCCCTTGGCCCAATTATTCCCTGCTCCAGTTTGCCCTGCAATCAAAGTAAAGCCATTATTTAGCCATATCTGCATTTCCATAGTATAGTACAATACAAAAATATGCTGGATTATTTCATTTAGGTCCCATGCACACTGGACCTGTTTACAGCTGCTCTTAGGGGAATTTGGTGCTTTTTTTTTTTCCTGGCTCTAAACACCCCTGCATGCTAGCCTATGTATCCATGCATGCATAAACCTTTAGAGGCAGGTCAAAAACCCACTGCCAGTGCGTTCAGAAGCAGCTCTGGCAGAGAAAACGCTTGAAGCTTCTAAACGTGCATTACAAGTAGGCATGTTAATTCATTTCAATAATCAAAATATTTATTCTGGCCACTGAAATTAATTAACACCCTAACACTTGATGTGGCTAAACGCGTTATACACTTTTGGAAGCGGCAGGCGGTTTTGTTTTTTTTTTTCCCCAAAAGCCTGCTGCCAGGAAGAAAGGCTTCTAGGAGGGTTAAGAAAAAAAGTCCTGTGAGCATGAGGCCTTAAACTGGTGCAAAAATCCATTAAATATCCACCTGTGACAAAATAATGGAAAAAAGAATAGGTGTGTAGTAAGCTAAACGCGTATCTCAACCCAAACAATCATTTTATATATTGCAGCTTACCAGTCCTTAGATGTGGTTTCTTTTTCTAGTTTTTCCTTTATTTTCACCAGCTGATTCTGCCAGTAGCACACTTCCTATCTTTGGTTAGCAATGCTTATTGACTGTACTCTAACTATGGACAAGCAGCACTGTCACCCTAGGACAGGAAGTGTGTTAGGAGTACAAAACATATCCCTCTATCTTCATCTCTACATAACATAACATAGGAGGAGATGTTCTGTAGTTTACAGTAAGAACTGTGAACAATGCTAAATGATAACAGTCAAAATTTGCAGAGAGCACAGGAATATACAGTACATGTTTGTCAGATTTCTGGCAAAATCAACAGGTATTTTTTGCCCTGAATGTTACTTAACGATTTTTATTTTTAAACATTAAATGCAATGTTGGACATACCAAAGATAAAATTATCTGGTCTGAAAAGTTGTCCAAATGGGCCAGACCGTACACTGTCCATGGTCCCAGGTTCAAGATCAACAAGCACGGCTCTTGGTACATATTTCTGAGCTGTAAAAACAAAGAGGAAAATAAGCTATTCATGTATATTCAGAAATGCAAATAGTACTCCTATGCAATGTGTGTGATATTGTTTTTTTAGAAGCTAACTGATTATTATCATTTAATTCAGCCTAGACTTTCCTCAAATTCTAAGGAACTGTAAATCGACTTTTGAAGGACAAATGTAAGAGCAGGTATAATACCTTTTTCATTTTCGATTACACTGTGGTTCTAAAGGCTCAAGGTTTTTTACCTTCATGCATTCTATGCATGAAGGTAAAAAACCTGTGTGCAGCAGTGGCCCCAACCCCCTCAATACTTACCTGAGTCCCATCACAATCCAGCGATGTGCATGACATCCTCGGCTGTCCTGGGTCTCTGCCTCCTCATTGGCTGAGAGAGCAAAGCGGGAGCCATTGGCTCCCACTGCTGTCAATAACAGCCAATCAGCCAATGAGGAGATAGAGGGGGTGGGGCCAAGTAGCGGTTCCATGTGTGAATGGACACATGAAGCAGCAGATGCCCCCAAAGCAAGCTGCTTGCTCTGGGGGCACCCAAAAGAAAGGAGGAGCCAAGAGCGCCGGCGGGGGACCAGAGAAGAGGAGGATCAGGGCTGCAATGTGCAGCACACAGCAGACAAATATAGACATGTTTGTTGTTTTACAAGAAAAAAAAAAAATTAACCTTTAGTATCACTTTAAAGTATAAGGCTCCATTCACACTTCTATGATTTCCAGTATGACTTTGAAGTGTGACTTTTAATGGGATTTTGATGCAACTTTACACTCTCTGGCACTTAAGTCACATCAAAGTAGGGAAGGAACCCTTTCAAAGTTGCTGCGACTTTAAGTCACATAGATCCGAACGGGTGCCATTGAAAATAATGGGCTGCGACTTTATATGTCCAAAGTTGCAAAGTTCACATTTGTTACAATTAAACATTATGCACATTTTTTTCCCTGCTTCGTATGAAAAATGTCAAAATGAAGACTATTCTTTATTGAACAGAAATCCTGGTTCGAGCAGGTCTGACCTTATGTTTGCTTCCATCTTTGCTCCTGGCCTAGAGGGTTCTGTTTGGGTTTGAAAGGCTTTCTCTGCAGTGAATTGAACAAGCAATGTCTCTCTTAGGGTAGACCTTCCAGGACACATCAGAATGTTCTCAGAGCTAGGAGGTTGCAGACAGAGTTATAAGTAAGAGTACTTTTCTATAAAGCTGATGCATCAAAATAGTAAAGTTTGAATTTAGATTAGAAGCTCTCATGTACAAGGCCCTCTGAATCCTCGTTTTGAATTGTATTGTAACTGTACTATCTCCCTTTATTTTGTAAATCACTGCACAAACTGTAGGCTCCGTATCAATTCTGAGAAACTTGAGACAGGCTTGTTTCCCACCAAAACGCCAACTACGTTTAAATATTATCTCTGTTGTCAAGTCCCATATAGTGCACCTATTTACAGGTTAGGTGTACACTTGATATGGACTGTGCCTGGGCCGTCACCCTTGTTCGAGTGTGTCGTAGCCACCTCTCTACTGAAATAATAATGTAATTATAATATAAATACACATACATGATCCAGAATAATAAAGGAAACAATCAAGGCCATTGATATGTTTTCCGCAAGAATCACTTACAGTGCAGAACTGGTGATCTGGAGATCAAGAAGAACAGGGCCAGCTTTATAAAATTTGTGTTCACAGTAAATGAGTCATGTATCTATTAGGCTGCATTCACACTACAGTAGCATGTCAACGTAAGTAAAATTGCATAATTGTGTTCACAAAACACACAAAAGCACATCACACTCGTAGTGCCATTCAGTGCTAACGGCATCCCAAACATGGCAAAACACACAGTTAAATAACACACTAAGCTCAAAAGGGACATGATCTTCTTTTCTGCATTTGTCATTGAAATGAATGGGCTGCCCTATGAGTGAAGTGTAACTGCAAGCATATTCATGATACCTGAGGTCATTCAACATAATGTGAATCCGGGCTTGCTCTCTACTAACACAAAGTCCCAAGCAACATTTCAACTGATTGACAACAAAGACCAAAACAAACCTTTCTGGATTGTCTGCTAAGCTTGTCTAATGATATCTGTGTCAAAATTAACCTTTTCAAGATACAGGGAAATGGAATGGGCTCCTGCAGCAGGTTGTTATTTTTTCCTTGTTCTACTTTTATTTACTAACTAGGAAGCCTTTGATTTGGCTCCAGATTGAGTTACCTTGTAGCTCATTTAAAGACAACTTTTTATTATTTCACCCTCAAAACTATTGTAAAAGGTGCGTTAAAGTATAACTAACAGGAAAACATTTTTGTTTTGGATAGGGTGTGAAGGATTAGAACACCTGTTGGATGTTTACTGCGGTCTGTGCCCCCATTAGGGAGAATCCAATTGGAGAAATGTCACCAGCACAAAGGATTCCTCAAAATGGGTCCAAAGCTTTCTTTTATTGGTCACATAGTAAACACAAGGCAACATTTCGGTGCCACGAAGGGCCCCTTTGACAGGCAAGTCGAAGGAGCCCTGCTTGACTCCGAACCGTTGCCTAGTGTTTACTATGGGACCATGAAAATAAAGCTTTGGACCCATTTTGAGGAATCCTTTGTGTGCTGGTAACATTTCTTTGCTTGGATTGTCCACGGCTCCCAGTCTGTAGTCACTACTGAGCCCAGCAATACCAGATAGTCATTTATAGGAATGTGTGCTTGGGGAATATTGCATTTGAACTCATTAGGGAGATTCACTCTCTCTACTGTTTACTGTTGTGAAGGAAAATCATCAATTTTGAGTTGTTACCAGAACAGCAATACATGGGAAATCTTCTAATGGGAAAATTAATTCTGGTGAGCCTGGTGGCACCTCGTAATTTCCTCACTGCACCTCTGAATTCTCTCACTTTGGAGGGATTTCGTCTCACTTTCTGTTTTGGATATGGGACAGGGAGTGAAGGTAAATCCCCCCTACGGGACACATATGGCAAAAAACATTACAGGAGTTACAGTATAACCCTCCCTTACTCTATCCAAAATGAAAAAAAATATTACTTTACTTCTACTTTGATTATATTTTCAAAATCTAAAATGTGCTTTTACATTAGCAGATTTATATATAATGTGTGCTGGAAAATATGTACAAATGTACAGATCTGTCTGATTTGGACACATACCAGAACTTCTCCAAAACAAACTGAGCTAGACTTTTAAATTGTGCAAGGAAACAGAGAAATGGATATAACATTTTTACATACAGTTGTGTTCAAAATAATAGCAGTGTGTTAAAAAAAGTAAATAAAGCTCAAAATCCTTCTAATAGCTTTTATTTCCATACACACAAATGCATTGGGAACACTACACATTCTATTCCAAATCAAAACATGAAGAAAAATATATCAAATTTGTGTTGTTCCTCTAAAAAAAATGAAGAAAAGTGAATATTAGACTGTTCAAAAAAAAAACAGTGTTTGTATTCTTCTTTACAACCTCAAACATTCAGTATATAAACTGAAAAATGTTTGAAGATTTTGCTTTCCTTTGAATCACTTAATTAATATTTACTTGTATGCGCACTGTTTCTGAGAACTGCTGTACATCTGTGTTGCATGGAGTCAACCAACTTCTGGCACCTGTGAACAGGTATTCCAGCCCAGGATGATTGGACTGCATTCCACAGTTGTTCTCTATTTCTTGGTTTTGTCTCAGAAACTGCATTTTTGATGTCACCCCACAAGTTTTCTATTGGATTAAGATCTGGGGATTGGGCTGGCCACTCCATAACGTCAATCTTGTTGGTCTGGAACCAAGATGTTGCACGTTTACTGGAGTGGTTGGGGTCGTTGTCTTGTTGGAACACCCATTTCAAGGGCATTTCCTCTTCAGAATACTTGGAGAGGTCATGCTTCCTTATGCTGATGTATTCAAACTGATCCATGATCCCTGGTATGCGATAAATAGGCCCAACACCGTAGTATGAGAAACATCCCCATATCATGATGCTTGCGCAACCATGCTTCACTGTCTTCACAGTGTACTGTGGCTTGAATTCAGTGTTTGGGGGTCGTCTGACAAACTGTCTCCGGCCACTAGACCCAAAAAGAACAATCTTACTTTCATCAGTCCACAAAATGTTGCGCCATTTCTCTTTAGGCCAGTCAATGTGCTCTTTGGCAAATTGTAACCTCTTCAGCACGTCTTTTTTTCAACAGTGGGACTTTGCGGGGGCTTCTTGCAGATAGCTTGGCTTCACATAGGCGTCTTCTAATTGTAACAGTACTCACAGGTAACTTTAGACCTTCTTTGATCTTCCTGGAGCTGATTAATGGCATGTGTAAATTATGAGCTAAACTCCAAACAGATATAAAAGACACAAATTAATACAACTCTATATTCATTAATAGATCATTATTTTTTGAATGAGAGCAGTGCAAGTATCTGAATATGGCTTCTTCTCAGCCTCTTGCAGTCCCTGTACAGCCAGAGCTCAGAATGGGGATGGTGGAAGTAGTGCAAGGAGCCAGTCAGGTATACTGTGATGTAAGAAGCATGCTAATAGGAGGAGAGTGTAGAGCAGTGCTTGCCCATTTATGAGCTTAAAAGGGGCCTCAAATGTGGCCCCCTGACATCACCAAAGGGCTGCACATAATGTTTAATATATGGAATGCTTGAGACTGCCAGAAACTGAAAACCTAATAGGGTCAGAGAGTGAGGACATGATATATTATTGGCTGGGGATATGTTGCAGAAGACAATACAAAACTAGGAACATTTTATACCACGCTAGTAGAGATGGATGCTATTAGCCTAATCAATGTTCCCACTACAGACTGTTGTCCGAGTTCCGAGGGCTGCATATCATATACCAAAGGGCTGCAGGTTGGGCACCAGGGGTATAGAGTGACAGACAAAGGACTACCATCTGGGAAAAATCAGATCTCCAGCCCTGCCAAACAGAGATGTACTGAGTTGTAAAGCTCTATAAATCTTAGGGCTGGATGGACTG